TGGCTGGACTGCCCGTGGCGCGAGAACAGCGGGGAGGAGCGGTTGGAGAGGCTGGAGACACTCCGGGGGTTGGCTTCATCGCTGTCGTAGCAGGTCATCTCCAAGGAGCTGCGAGGATGAGGTGCAGGACAGGGTTAGGGCAGGGCAGGGTGGGCAGTGGAGGTCCGTGCCCTGTCTCACCCGCCCAGAACAAGTTCTCAGAAAACAAACCTGCCCCTTTTGAGGCAGCCAGGCAAGGCCAAAGGCTCCCAGGAGCGAGGGCGCAGGGACACTGTCTGTCCTGGACACGGTCTGTCTCAGATTATAGGGAATGGTCCCCTCCTGCCCTGCCTGGTGCCAGCACAGCATGCCACACTCCAGGACCCACTGGGACATCCACACCACCTGCACCCACCGGTGTCTGGTAGTTCCTGTTTCTCCCCAGGGACTATGGAGCAGGATGTGGGGGTCTGTGCCTCCCTACAGCCCCAACCACCCCACAGAGGCGATGCTCCCTGCACAGCCATCTTGGTGCAGGGGCTGGGGGTGCCACCAGGGCTGGCCGCAAACACACATGGCAGAGGGATACATACCTCTCTGGAGACCAGCCCCGGTCCCAACCTGAGCTGTGCTGAACCCCACTAATAGTGAGCCTTTAGTGGAAAGCCCAGACATGCTCCCCTTTGGCCAGGCTGCTCTCCCTTGGCCGCTTCCCCACCAGCACTTCAACACCTGCACCCCAATATTGTCCCGGATCACGGGGTACGACAAATTGGGGGAGTGGCACACACATGGCAGCGGGCTGTGCCGGGAAGCCGGGGCTGGATGTCGAGGGGCAAACCAGGGACCAGGTCCCTGCATCAGCACCTCAGGCCAAACCCCTGCAGAGCCAACCTCCACATCTGGGCAGGAGGGGACAACCCAACACAGGGCTGCCAAGCCCCGTGGGGCTGCCTGCAAGCGTGCTGCTCTCCACCCAGCCCAGAGCCTGTGAGCGCATCAGGAATGGGGAGTTGAGTTACTCCCTGCACCCTTTGGGATGTACTTTGGGCAAATGGCATGTTGGGGAGTGATGCTGAGACTAAATTTAGACACCAAAAATGATTACTTCTTGGAGCAGCTACTTGGGAACCCACAGCCCTCGACTTGGCTCCAAACATTACTATCAGCAAGTTATTCCCTAGCTTGGATTAAACGTTCCTGCAGGAGCACCAAAAGCCAAACTCCGGCTGCAGTATTGAATTTAAAACAGGGAACTACATAAAAAACTAGGAAGTTTGTTAAAGCGGAACTAAAAGGGGCAGCTAAAAGGGTTTAGGTTTTGTTGGCAGCACAAAGGCTATTTAAGGATGTTCTGCCGGCGGCTCGGAGCAGATGCAAACCACGTCTCCAAGCAGGACTAAAGCAAGCCCCCAAGGAAGCTCATCCGACCCGGCAGCCGGGTGCAAAGGCTTCCAGAAGTACAGTGACGTCTTTCAGGAACAAAGTTGTGTCCTAGCGAGGAAACAACAAAGGCTGAGCCCCCAGCCACTGGATGGAAGATCACAGCAAGGAGAACAAGAGAAGTTTGAGGAATAATTTGTGGAAAGAATAAAGAGAGAGTCTGAAGCAGTTATAGGGACACTGGCAATGCAGGGCACATCCAGAGGACCACGTATGACATCCGTATTGGACAGGCTTGTAGAAAGCTTTTCCCAGAGCAGAATTAGTGGGTACGTGTGTAATTACGACATACCGGGGAAGAGCTGACACAGCTTTGGTAAAGGAAAATCCGGCTCACAACCGCGTTGGAGCTCCTGGAGGGATGCAGGGAGCACGCTGCCGAGGCTGCTGCAGGCTACCAGAAGGTGGTGGACGAGTGCCCTCCCCAAAGGCAGATTAAGCTTCCAAATAAACTCAGCTGCCATGGGATAAGAGGGAAGATCCTCATGTATTTAGGAACCGCTTCTGGGATAGAATACAGGGGTAGCCATCCCTGGGCTATCAGTTGGTTTTCTCCGTGGCAGGGATCCGGCGGAGGCCTCCGCCACATGGTGTACTCATCAGGAGTAACTCATCAAGAAAAGGAAGTGAGAGCAAAGAGTCAAAACCTACCAGCAATGCTAATTTAATCACACTTAATATCCTCGCCCTATTTCCCTAAGAGCGGGGCTGACAGAGGATTTGCAAAGGAGCTGAGCGCTGGGGCGAGAAGGCGGCGGGTGAATTTTGACACAGATGAATGCAAAGCAAACGCAGAGCAAACACGAAGAGAATGTGAAGTGAACACAAAGCAGCCCTGACGGCATGAGCAGCACCAGGCTGCAAACCAGCTGCTGTGCTGAGCAAAGGGATGGCAGAGCTGTAATGGATAATTCCAAGAAATCACCAGCTCGGGGAGTATCGCCGCGGCCCCATGCAAATCCCACTGCCCCAGTGCTCTGCCAACCACCAGCTCGGAAAAGATCCAGAAAATGCAGCAAGGACAAGCAAGGTCTAGACGTGATTCTGGGTTAAGAAGAGCTAAATCAAGTGGGCTGCTTCATCCTGGACAAAGCTGACTGAGGAGTGACACAGGGAAGATCTGTAATGATGAGTGGTGGGTGAAGGGGAGAGGGAGGAGCTACTGCTTTTTGCCCCTTCCAATATAAAAATGAGGATTGAAGGAGACCGCGAGGTGGCAACAAACACCAGGAGAAGGAGGTTCGGCGCATCCTCGGCTTTCCCGACTTGCTGACACCCAACACAGCCTCTCTGGAAAGCCCAGGCTTCATGATACGGCTGCACCAGTGGGGCGGGAGCCAGGAGGGTACCCTGGGGAGATGCCCCCTCTCCACCCACTGCTGCCTGGCTGGAGCTGCTGTGCAGACCCCAAGCACGTCCACAGCAGAGCAGTAACCCTCCAGTGGTCTCAGGTGAGAGACCCAGGGGGACACAGGTAGCCCCAGGCATGTGTCAGAGAGACCTCTGAACACAGGGAGACACTGCTCTGGTTCACTACTCAGCTGTCACCCTGTCCCCAGCCCCGCCATCCCCCCAGCCCCCACTGCAACCCTGGGGTGCTGCCAGCCCCGGTCTGGGCAGGGTACTCCACCTCTGCCCATGGGCTGCCAGGCACTTGGTCAGCTCTCTATGAGGGTTTCTCCATCATCACCTCTACACAGAGTAGAGAAACTGAGTCACGGATTGGGATGGAGCCTGTGGTCCAAACCTGGACAGGCGCAGGGGATACCTTCACCTCTGGTTGTCCATATGGGGACACCTGACCACTGGAAACAGATCTCATCCCCTGCCTGGGGTCTGGGGGCAACCAGTTCCCCTTTGTGCCACCACCACCCATCCCCACTGTCCCAGAGCACGTGAGGCAGTGTCGGGCCCACACCACTGCCAGGGACGGGGCTCTGCCACAGCCCTGTGCACAACTCCCCACAGATTTGGGGGCATTTCTCCAAGCCCCCACGCGCAGGGCCCCCAGGCCATGGGGCACAGCCAGCTCCCTCCCACCCACATGGCCCTCACTCGGAGCAGAACTGCTTCCCGGCCACCCCAACCTCCCTCCCTGCCCCAGGAAGGACACAGCTTGTGGGGAAGTGGGGGTGGGGGTCCGGTGTCGGGGCCTTACCTGTGAGACACCTGAGAGCCCCTCAGGCTGGACATGGTCTCCTCCAGGTTCTGCCGGAGGTCCAGCACATTCTGCACTGTCCTCTTCCTCTGGGACTCAGGGTCTGTAGAGAGACAAGGAGGTGGCTTTAAAGGGATGAATGGCTCCTGTGCCCCTCTGCCCACAGCTGTGCCCCCCAGCCCCTTCCCACACCCCTCTGCCCACAGCTGTGCCCCCCAGATCTTGCTCTGCCCGCTGGGAGGGGACAGGGGAAGGCTGGCACCAGGCTGGAGCAGCACCACCATGAAATGTCACTCCCAAGTGTGCAGCTGGGATGGGGATGACTGGTCCAGAAAGGACAAGCTGGGGGGCGGACCAAGTTGGGCCACAGGACCCACGCAGGTGACAGGAGGCTGGCTACAGTCAGTCGACCCCAAAGCACTGTGACCCTGCTCCATGGGGCCATGCAGGAGCAGCCTGGAAGAACATCCCCACACCCACCCCTGCATCCCCCAGGCCCCAGGAGTGCTCCAGCCTGGGGACACGGGTGCTGCAGCAGCATCACCCAGCACACAGCCAGCAGGAGCCAAGGAGATGTCAGGGAGTAGAGCAAGCCAAGCCCCACTCCTGCCTCCTGCCCGGGGAGAGGCGGCTGCTTCTGCTGGGGGCTGGAGCAGCCGGTGGGACCAAGCCCCCCATAGGCACAGCCCAGGGCTGCAAACCCCCGAGCTCCAGCTGCCCTGGGGCTTCTCCGGGTGTGCACACCCACGGCATGGGCACTCGCACACGTACGCAGGTAAGCACCCCTAACCCACATGTGTGCACACGCATGTACCTGCACCACAACCACTTGTGCACACACATGCATATGCATGCATGCACATCCACACACGCATGCATACACACCTGCAAACACACACGCACACCTGCACACACATGCACACACAATTTTATGCACACACCCCTCTAGAGACACCCACACACATGTCCACACACTCACACACAGAGAGGAGGGGGGTCACTCCTGGCACAGCCCTGGCAGCGCTGCTGGGCTCGGGGCCATGGCTCCAGCCCCCGCACCCCTGCCCCGCTTGTGTGCATCCCTGGCAGCTAACAGCCGTGCCACTGCGGCTTTGATCCCCGATTTCAAGCCTTTCAGCCACAGCTTGCCATTGAACTGCAGTGACAGCGGGCGCCAGGGATGCTAGATGTGGCTCCTCCTAATGTAACGTGGCAACCAGCGCTTCAGGATTTGCAACAGCACCGTGTAAGCCGCAGCAATGCAGGGACCGGGGGGACACCACTGGCACACGCCCCGGCAGGATCCCCACAAGGGCACAGCCATGCGCCTCATGCACGAGCAGGGCTCATGTCCCATCATCCCCATCACACACCAACCGTGCCACTGGGCACACCGCACGCAGCACCCATGGGTGATGCTGCCCCATCCCCAGGCTCTGACCACTCACCGGCCTGGGCAGGAGCACCT